TATGTTAATAAATAAATAATTTGAATAAGGGACATGTAGTATGTATTTAGAATTAATGTAAATTGTGAATGCAGAATTATATCTATAAAAAAGAATTTATGTTAAGTGTAAAATGTAATGAGCATATTTTAACTCTAAAAATATAATGAAGTATAGATTAAATCTAGAAATGTATGTATATATTAAGTCAATTTAAATTTGATTAAAAATTTAAAAAGAAAACAAGGAAGATAATAAATGGAAAATTAATGTTTGGAACAAAAAAGTACTCCCTTCGTCCCGAAAATATTTGCCAAATTGACTTTTCTTGGTCAATGACAATCAACTTTGACCAATGATATATTTTAATACGAAATTATTTAGAATATGAAAAGAGTAAAATGCATAAATGGTCCTTGAAGTATCATCACCGTATCGTTTTGGTCCTCGAACTATTAAATCTATCATTTTAGTCCTTAAACTATTTCATCTATATTAATCGAGTCCTTCCGTTAAATTTGCTGTTGATTTTGACGGAAGCTAATTAATTTATTAACATCTCATGATTTTAAACATTTTGGAACAATACAATCATTCTTAAAATTTAAGTAGCTAATCTAGTTTTTTTAAATACACATATATGATATATGTACACATACACATATAAAAATTATAAATAAATAATATAAAATCAAATGTACGGCCTAAATAATACTTTGTACGTAGTATATAAGAGAGAATCAAATAATCAATTATATACATATAAGCAGATAAAATTAAATAAGAAAACGAGGGTGGTTGTTATTATTATTAATTATATTAAGAAAAATTAAAACTAGGTATGACTAAAACTCATCCATTTTGTCAATACATGACCTCATTAGTCCCCTCCCCACCCCCAAAAAATAACAATACTTCGAATTTAAATTCATAAAATTTAATAAAATAAATAAATAAATAAATTTTTTAGACAAATTTGCCCTTACACTTTTTGGCGGTACCGGAAAGAAGTAGATCAAACTAGAAAAGTTATAGTGAGAGAAACAAGCTCTCAACTCTCACTTGTGTGGTTCTATATCATTTTTACTTTATGAAGACGGTGTCGGCGCATGGGGATGACCGCGACGACGGGGGAGGTGTGTGTCGCGGCGATGTGGGAATCAGGTGCCGCGGCGATGTGGTGTTTAGGAAATTACTAGGAAATTAGAGTTTTATAATATCAATCTAAGAGTATATTTTGGTAAAAAAATGTAAGGGAAAATTAGTCAATAAAATTTATTTATTTATTTATTTATTTATTTTATTAAATATTATGAATTTAAATACGGAATATTGTTTTTTTGGGGTGGAGAACTAATGAGGTCATGTATTGAGAAAGTGGATGAGTTTTAGTCATAACTAGTTTTAATTTTGTTCTTAATATAGTTAACAATAATAACAATCACCCTCATTTTCCTATTTAATTTTATCTGCTCATATGTATATAATTGATTATTTGATTCTCTCTTATATACTACGTATGAAGTATAGTATTATTTAGGCCGTACATTTGATTTTATATTATTTATTTATAATTTTTATATGTGTATGTGTACATGTATCATATATGTATGTTTAAAAAAACTAGATTAGCTACTTAAATATTAAGAATGATTGTATTGTTCCAAAATGTTTACAATTATGAGATGTTAATAAATTAATTAGCTTCCGTCAAAGTTAACGGCAAATTTAACGGAAGGATTCAATTAATATAGATGAAATAGATTAAGGACTAAAATGATAGATTTAATAGTTCGAGGACCAAAACGTTATGGTGATGATAGTTCAAGGACCATTTATGCATTTTACTCATGAAAATTATATCAAAACATTCCTTATTGAAAATATTTTCATAAAAGTATAAAATTTATAAATTATATACGAATATAATAACTAAAATCATTGCTCAAAGTTTGCCATTATTGATCAAGAAAAATCAATTTGGCAAATGTTTTCGGGACGGAGGTAGTAGGAAGGATTCGAACCCTCAACCCACGGAAGGTTTTAGAGAACACACTGAGGTCTTACCACTTGAGTAGACTGCTGTATAGTGATAATGCACGTTATTATTGTATATATTATGGGTGTTGGATGGGGTTGAGTGGGGGCAGTTGTCCCCTGCCTCCACGCTGAATATGCCACTGTCCGCAATGACATATTTTGTCTTTGAGGTATCGAATCGATAATTTATCTATCTTTTAATTTGAGTCATGAATTGATACATGTCCTTTATTAAATCTCAATCACATTAATCTTTTTCTTATTTTTCTGTCTTCTTAAAGCTATTGTAACCACTAAAACGTCAAATCTTGTACTTCATCTCTCCTAAAAGGTTTGTCATGATAAATGAATAATAGTCAACTTCGACTAATAATATTTTTGAATATGAAATTATTTTAAATATGAAAATTATATTAAAATGTTTTTTATAGAAAATATTTTCATAAAAGTATAAATTTATGAGTTATATACTAATATAATAATTAAAATCGTTATCCAAACTTCGATCTCATTGACCATGAAAAGACAATGAAACAAACATTTTTTAGACGGGTGTAGTACTTTGTAATCTGTATTACTTTGAACGAATGGCATTATTCGAGTTTGGTTTAAATGCTAAGTGCTTACTTTTGTCCAATTAGAAGAAGTCTTTAATTGAGAAATGAGAATGAATCTCGCCGTTGAGTTTGATTATATTTCAGTAAAAAAGAATTGATATTGCACTGACGTATGTAATTATGTGCGGTGATTTTTTTTATAAATACTTTGGAAAACCCGTGGTACACCTCCCTACTTCAACATGAAATTGTGTTGGTACATCATCGTCAAATTGTAGTGCAACACGAACTTGTTTTTGTGCAAATTTAAAGCATAGTATGACACCACATTTGTTTTAGTGCAATGTCGTAAATCTAATTACTAGCATTCATTCTCATTTCTCACATTATGTGCATTTCTCACTTGAACCAATATATATATATATATATATATATATATATATATATATATATATATATATATATATATATATAGTAGTTTTCTCATCAATCTATTTTGGCTTGTTTTGATCGGTTTTGTCAGGGGATTTTGGTTTGGCTGTTTTTTTAATCCCAAAGTATAAATCATAGACCGAATCACCGACGAATTAGTTCATTTCGATAGGTTTCGATTTTGGTCGATTCAGTTTTGGTTTAGGTTGTTTTGTTCACCCCAACACATATCACATACGTGCCACAACAAGCCCTTTAATTTCCTCCTTTTGTGCCAAGATAGAAGGAAGGCCTATACTCTGCTTCAAACACGCACTAACGTATCTGTTCCATTGAATTTTGCCAACTTTCTCTTTTTGGTTGTCCTCAAAAACTTTGTCACTTTCCCATTAAGGTAACTATTTTGTGGTTATACTCATTTCTCTCTCATCTGCATAAACTTCAATCACACAATTTTTACTATTCTTATTTCTCACATAATTTCAAGAATGCAAAGTCCAATGAGACGGAGATAGTACGAAATAAGAACAACTAAAGTGAAAAAAAGCTTGACATATCTTCCGCGATGCAGGATGATCTTCTTCCTGAATGGCACATCGATGTGAGGGGAAGTCCTCCACACACTCTTCTCTCTCTCTCTCTCTCTCTCTCTCTCTCTCTCTCTGATAATCCAGGTGTCAGTGCTTACGCTCCAATAATCATGAAGTCTATGAACTACCCTCCAAAGTCCCTAGACAGTTAAATCCGAATCGGATCACAGTCAGCCTCATCAGTACTGGCTCCAAAGGACGAATCCAGCAGGACTTACATCACCTTTCAGACTGCTCCTCCCACCACACGAACCCGCTACCTTCATTACCATCCTCTCCCTTCTCAGCCGCTCAACAACTCCGTGAAGGTAAGAAGAATCATTGGGAGCAAGAACTCCCTCATTTCCCCTTGATGGGAATTGAACCCAAGACCTCCCATCCAAGCACTCTTCTCTCACAACGACAGATGCCAACCCTAATGCAAATACAAACATTCCTTTTTGGTCCTATTATGTTTCTAATCAATTCTATTTGGACCGAGGCGCAGGGACAGATTAATCAGGCCCACACTCTCCTGGATCGACCACCTTTTCCTTAAGGGCCCTATTGACCCTTTATTTTCTATCAGCAACAATTTATTTGCTTTTCTTTTTTAATTTCAATCCTGTAATCTCCAACATTTTTAATAAAGCAGGTAAATGCACCCGACATTTACCCCGCCAATTCTGGTGGTTTTTCGGGCCAAAAAAAAACTTGGCATATAAGAGGGTGAGAGACTCAGAGGTATCATAACGACAGAAAAACGTACTTCTTTTTGGCAAAAGTTTGATACTATCGTATTTGGGAGAACAAAACTCAAAAGTTTGAATATAAAGATTTTAGCAGTGCATAAAAGGTGCAAATAGGCCCATGTACTAACCAAAAAAGGTCAAATAAGCCCTTATTTAGGAGGTCTGTCCGGCCGTCGTCATTTGGAGTGGTTCCTGGTGGAATTTTTTGATGAAATTTTTTTAGCATCTTATTCATCAAGTCTAGTTTACGCATACCAAATTTCAGCTAAAACTTCAATCGGTAAGACATTCAAATGAATTCTTGAAGATAACTGCGATTCTAAGTGCGCAGTTATTTTCAAGAATTCATTTGAATGCCTTCCCCAATGAATTTTTAGCTGAAATTTGGTATGAGTAAACTAGATTTGATGAATAAGATGCTCAAAAAAATTCATCAAAAACATCCACCGGGAACCACCCCAAATGGCGATGACCGTACAGAGCCTCCTAAATAAGGACTTATTTGACCTTTTTTGATTAGTACATGGGCCTATTTGCACCTTTTTCCTTCTTTTTTTATGACAATATCAATGCATATACTTAGGATTTCAGATCTTTGTTGTGCTAAGTTGTTACGTATAATAAAAACAACGATAGTAATAAAATAATAGAAATATTATGGACAATAATCAATAAATCATTAACAACTTTCTTTATTATTTTTTGTTCACATTTATTTGTGAATACAAACTAATTGTACACAAAAAGTATGTACACCACACCCACTATTTTACTCGTGAACATAGACTATTTAACAACATTCAAGATTTAATCCTAAAAGATTTTAGAGTCAGCTAACATGAAAGGATCCATGATATCGATGCCAAAAACGATCCAATATAGATGACAATATTGGAATGAAAATAATAGACAGACATGCTTGTTGACTAATGTGTATTCTTAGACTTTTGTTTTTGGCATTTTAACAACAATTTTGGGTAGTTTAACAAAGAAATGAAGTATCCTTTGGTATTAACATGTGTTGACTTTTTCCTGGTTTTTGTTGACGCGTTCTGATGTTCTGTTACCATTGTAATCCGTCGGTCCAGTCCATATAGTCTTCTTCTTCAAGCATCTGCTCATCCCTTAAAAATCTTCAGCTGATTGATCTACCGGAGTACCGGACCATTATTTGAGCCGGAGACGCTTAATTTCCCCTGTTTTTATACGAATATACATACAATTACTTCTTATATCTTATGTATTGAATAAAAATGAATGATCTCTTCTCTGGATCTTTCCCTCGTCACCGGGACGATCAGGCGTCCGATTCCCACTCGATCGAGATGACCGGCGTCGGAACCGGCACCGGCGGAGTGAATCTAGAGAAGTTCTTCGCGGACGTCGACGTGATTAAGGAAGATCTCAAGGATCTCGACAAAATCTACAGCAGTCTTAACAGCTCCCACGAACGCAGCAAGACTCTCCACAATGCCCAGGAGGTGAAAGATCTCCGGAAAGTTATGGACGAAGGCGTTTCCAGCGCGTTGAAGAAGGCCAAACTCGTCAAAGTCCGGCTAGAGGCGCTGGACCGGTCAAACGCGGCGAACCGGAGCATCCCGGGTTGCGGCCCGGGGAGCTCGACCGACCGGACTAGGTCGTCGGTGGTGAGCGGGCTGAGGAAGAATCTGGCGGATTCGATGAACCGGTTCAACGAGCTCCGGCAGAAGATGGCGGCGGAGTACCGGGAGACGGTGCAGCGGCGGTACCAGACGGTGACGGGGGAGACGCCCGCGGAGGCCGTGGTGGACGCGCTGATCTCGACGGGCGAGAGCGAGACGTTCCTGCAGAAGGCGATCCGGGAGCAGGGGAGGGCGGAGGTAATGGGGACGGTGGGGGAGATCCAGGAGCGGCACGCGGCGGTGAAGGAGGTGGAGAGGAACCTGAAGGAGCTGCACCAAGTGTTCCTGGACATGGCGGTGCTGGTGGAGAGCCAGGGGGAGCAGCTGGACGACATCGAGAGCCATGTGAACAGGGCAAACAGCTTCGTCAGGGGTGGGACTCAGAATCTGCAGGTCGCCAGGAAGCACCAGAAGAGTACCAGGAAATGGACTTGCATTGGTATCATCATCTTGCTCGCCGTCATCTTGATCATTGTTCTCTCCGTTCAGCCATGGAAGAAGAAGAATTGAATCTCTGGATTCACAACTGGTCAAAGTCAAATATACTGGCTCCCACAATCCAACTAATTTACTCCTTAATTATTTCCCTTTTCTGTATTTTTTCTTTAATACTAGTGTAGTGCTCGTGCATACGTTCCGAAAATCCTGAAAATACCCGTTAGTGCATATATTTTTACTCATAATCTAGGTAAATACTACATCCGTCCTATTCACATTGGGACGCAAGAATGTGACACGGTTATTAAAAAAAGTGGGTTATGTGGTTGATATTGAATTCAAAAAGTAAGAATAAAGTATGAATGATTAAGAGTCACACAAACTTTACTAAATTCGGTATGAGACAATCTTAGTGGGATTTCCCGAAAAGGTAAAATGGGACACACTTAACCGGACAGGGGAGTAATAAAACAAAAATAATTTTTTAGAATTCTACATGTTTGAAAAATAAGAGTACAATAAGCTAATATCATAAACGGGAAATACTAGTTGGTACATATATTTTCACACATGATCTAATTAAATATTAAGACAAAAATAACTTTTTAGAATTCTACATGTTCCAAAAATAAGAGTACAATAAGCTATCGTAAAGTATAAGCTATACAATAAATATTCAATGATTAAGTGAATTACATAAAGTATAAGTGAATGCAATAAATAATAAAATTAACAAATATTAGTTAAATAAGAATTTGCTAATCATTAGTTAAATTAGTGCTAACAAATGAGAGACAAAAATGTCCTGCTCAATTGTTAGACGACTTATTTTATACCTAAAAGAACTACATATGAGAAAAATTCTCCCGCTCAAGTGTTAGCCGGTTTATCTTCTTCTTATATCTAAAAGCACTATGTATGAGAGAGATAATTCTACCGCTTAATTATTAGCTGGTTTATCTTATACGTACTTAAAAGAACTACATATATGAGAAAAAGTTCTTTTGCTCAATTGTTAGTAAGTTTATCTTCTAATAACCAAGCATTCCAGCCCAGCTGGTTGTGAGGTTACTATGCCTAGTGAGAAGTATCGAGTTCAAAACCCACTAGGCACATAAGGGTTTGAAACTCAATAGAGTGAGTTTCAGCCCTGATTACTCCAGCCCCCCCCCCCCCCCCCCAGACGCCCCTGGAGTAAAAAAAAAGTTTATCTTCTAGTACCTAAAAGCACTACATATTAGAGATAAAATTGTCACGTTCAATTGTTAGTCAGCTTATCTTATACCTTAAAACACTACATATGAGAAAGAAAATTTTTCTGCTCAATTGTTAGCCGGATTATCTTATATTGTACTTAAAAGATTACATATGATAGAGAAATTAGTTCTTCCGCTCAAATCTTCTAATACCTAAAAGCACTACATATGAGAGAAAATTATCTCGTTCAATTATTAGGAAACTTATCTTCTTTGTTTATACCTAAAAGCACTATATATGAAAGAAAAAAATTTCACTCTCAATTGTTAGTCAACTTATCTTATACCTCAAAACACTACATATGAGAGAAACTTTTTGTGCTCAATTGTTAGCCGGATTATCTTATGTTATACTTAAAAGATTACATGTGAATATATGATAGAGAAATTAGTTCTTCCGCTCAAATGTTAGAAAACTTATTTTCTTATCTCCATATATTTAAAATACTACATATGAGAGAGAAAACTATCTCGCTCGATTGTTAACCTGCTTATTTTATATTATCCTCCGTTCCATAAAAGTTGCAACAATTTGACTTTCACGTTTGCCAACGCGCAACTTTGACCGTAATTATATTTATTTACGTATTAGCAAACATTAAAAAAAATTAATATATTAGAAATTTACACTAATACAAATTTATTAATATTTTATACATAATATTTTTATTATATATATTATTAGAAAATCGTAGTCAAAGTAAGGTATGTGAATAGTGCAGAAATTCCAATGTTGCAACTTTTATGGAACGGAGGAAGTAGTTAAAAGAACTACATATGAGAGAGAAAATTATCTCACTTAATTGTTAGAAAGTTTATCTTATAATACCTAAAAGCACTACATATGAGACAGAAAACTATCCCGCTCAATTCCCCTGCTCAATTGTTAGCAAACTTCTCTTCTAATACCTACTAATAACAATAATATTTCCTTATATGATATAGTTTGTCATTCAACCAATAGTGTGATTTGTACTTATAAACAATATTTTTTAAAAAATGATATGGCTCACCTTAGAGAATATTATTTCAAGACAATGCGTATAATATATATATATATATGTGTGTGTGTGTGGGCGCGCGCATGATTTTAGCAAGTTTTACATTATTTTAACATTTTAATTTTTCTCCAACATTGGCATTATTTCAACATTGGCATTATCTTAACGTGACGCCAAATCAGACCAGACAAAAATAATAGTAGAATTAACATATTTATCCAACTAACAAAAAACTAACTTAGAGTATGATTCTAATTATATTTACCACATTTGCATGTGGTAAATATAATCTGAGTTGAATGCTATCTAAGCTGGCTCCCAGGTTTTGGCCTAGGAGGCCCAATTACAATGATGGGCCACTAAGCGGCTATTTATACGAACCTATCTATTAAGTGTGCAAGGTGAATGCTACCCGCTATAGGTTCCTGGCTGAGGTGAACAGACCGAAGTATCCAGGCCACAATGACTGTTCCTGAGTGAAGTTGTTGGATAGTTGTCGGATATGTACTCTGAGTTCACCATTTCTGGAAACCCTTCATGCAAATGGGTCTCGTCTAGTTGAGGGCCCCCAGCCGAAGGATGGTCCGGTAGCTATAGGTTGTTTGTGTATCCCTGAGCATGTTGGTCATGAGTCCAAGTTCATATACTCTATCATATAGGTAGTATATAAGTATGTAACTCATGGAGTACATTTTTTTAGAATAAATAAAAATCAACGCAAAGAAAAGACCACAAAATGTGTTGTCCAAAAAAGATTGGAACAAAACTTTCAAGAAAAAAATTTGAAACATGATGTTTTGCAATTTCCCTACATCCTGCTACAAATTGACACTACACTGGGAGAGAATGGCGGAAGATACGAGTGGACTCGGGCCGGGCCAACCGGCCCGGAACCGGACCGGCCCGCTACTGTGCGGGCCCGGACCGGCCCGGTGAACCGGTTGGTTGCCCGGTTCGGGCCACCCGGCCTGGTGGGATGGCGGTTCGGGCTCGGGCCCTTCAAAAGGTGAACCGGCCCGGCCGGTTCGGGCCCGGGCCGGGCCAATTTATAATTTTTTTTTTGAATTTTTTTTAAGTTTTTGGGTTGGGCTGGGTATTTTGGGCCATTTGAGGTGGTTAGGGTTGGTTTGGGGGTGAGGGGGGGGATTGGGGTTTAACTAGGAAAACCCAAAAAAAAAATAGAACCGAGGCCCGGCCCGGCCCGGACCCGGGGGTTACCCGGGCCGATTCCGGGCCTCCCCTTCATGAACCGAGGCCCGGCCGGGCCCAGGCCCGAACCGGGCCCGAACCGGAACCAGTCCACCCCTAGCGGAAAGTGACGCAAATCATTTTCTAAAACTTACACTTTTTGGAATGGTTTTCGAAAATGTTACACTCTTCCGTCGTTCTCTCCTACTATGGTCCTTCACTCCTTTGATTGTACATGTGCTAACTTACACGCAAATATTAGTCTCTATATGATTCGACTCAAATACGTTTTTAGTCTATGAAACTATGATACATATTATTTTATGTCCATACAAAATTATATTTTTGTTTTTATCTTTAGAATATGTAAGACTTTGTATTTAGTCTCTTTCTAACTCTGAAACCACTCAACTGCGGAAAAAAGTTATTATCAATTGCATAAATCTACTTAAAATCTTTAAATTTGTCCTTTTATATATTTGTTAGATTAAAACGAGAGTTAAAACAATATAAAACTAATTATTCACATTTTAAAAATATTTAATAAAAAACTTCTAAAAATAAAATTAAATACTTTTTGAATAACATGACAAAAAATAGAGGAAACCTATTAGGCTGTTAGGTGAGGTTGTTTCATTGTCAAACAGATGTTGTTATCATCGATAATGCACTAAAAATAAAACTAACATATAAGGGATGAAAAATCAAAAAATAAGTTTGCATGGATATAAAATAAAATGTACAATATTTGCAGAAACTAGAAACATACTTAAATCTTTTTTTATTGGGTCAAAATCAGAGTACAACCCAATGACCCATAAGACCTTTAACACAAGTTCTCAAGTGGATATTGATTTTATATTTACATATATTGTTGATTGAAGTTTTGTACATGCAATCTGAAGTAAAGGTGGACCAGGCCCAGGCTGTAACTGGACAGGACTGGGGTCCTGGGCTGCAGGCTCGATACCGGCCCAGGTTTGTACCGAGACCGGGCCGGGCCAGGTCGGGTCAGGTAAATATTTTTAAAAAATGGCTTTTCTAATTAAATCCTACCCCGCCCCACCCCAAAAACCACCCAGCCCAAAGCCAAAAAATGGGTCCGGACAGGCCAGGCCGGTCCCCGTTTTTCCTGTCACGTAGCCCACCCGGACACCCCCTATCTCCGGGTTGGGCTTGCATAGTGGCAGGCCGGGCCAGACCAATCCCAGTCCATCCCTAATCAGAAGTAGATGGTGATTATACACTGTTCATCCCACTTTTCAGCAATTGATTAGATGCATTCTTTACTAGATTATGGATACTGTTATGAATAATTATGGATATTGGAAAGAACAAATACTGTTGTTGAAAGATTTTCCGGAAAAAAAAACCTGTTGTTGAAAGATAGAAAGTAAACCACAACAGTTTGCAATAATATTTAATATTGTTGCTTGCATTGCTCAATTGTTGCGAAAACATTATTCAATTGAGAATTTTTCTGCAAAAGAATTGAAGTATTGAACTCAAATATATTATTCTATGATTGTTGTATTATTCAATTATCATAAAAAACTGATTCTCTTTACAATGCACGCTCAAGTAACTTAATCTTCAAAGACTTGGGGTTTATAATCCTTAGACCATTTGAATCATTTACATTAATCAATAGATTAACTAACGCTCATCTTAATACAGTATCATTTTTAGTAAATTTGATCATTTCTAACATAATAATACACCAGTGAGAACTGAGAAGTGAGACTCATGATACCGTACTGGAGTATTAAGAGTAGTAATGTAGTATCGACTCGTTCACGATACTATCGAGTGTACTGTGAGTTAGGATGGACCCGATTCACGGTCCGGACCGGTCAGAAGCCAGAACCAGGACCAGCCAGTTTCTGAGACCGGACCGCAACCTTTCCTTTTATGATTTAAAAAAGTACAGCACATAAAGAATGAATTCAACACAAGCTGTAGGTATGCTTTCCCACAAATGGGAACTAGTCCAGGAAATGAAGAGAAAATGTTCCCCATTATGGTCAAAAGAATTGTTTCTTCTACTCTAATACTTTAATTTCTGTGGGTGTATCAGTGTATGTACAAATAATAAAACATTGTGCAAAATTATAGCATACATCTCTCTGCACTCTTACTGTGTGGTAGGGGGGACAAGTTCAGGTGGATGAATCTTGTTGTGGTAGAACCGTTATAAAGTATGGATGCCCTCGGCATGTCCCGGAGGACGGTTTCGATAAATTTCTGTCATTGCCTGCAGGGGAAGATGAGAGACTGCTCCAGTGTAGCGAGTAGTTTGACAGATCATATGTCCCCGGAGAAAAAATGCTTATGTGAAGAGGGATTTCAATAGAGGACAACGGGTCAAGACTAAAATGAGTCCAACTTGAACCTGACCAGACACATGGCATGGAAGTAACAGCCCACTCTGAATGTGTCTTCAAACCAGCCCGAGTCACTAGGTCTGGACCCAACTCATGCCAACCCACTTCACTACTGCTTACTGTGTTGGAGGGATTGGCAGGAAAATCTGCAGGACTAACCTGGACCGATACATGGTGGGTATCTGAGGAGTTATGAACAGTCATCTTCAGCTTTATTTCGCAGAAGAACGCAGAAGTGAAGTTGTGGGTTACTGTCGAAGGGCCATCCAGCAGCCACCATATTGGGCTTGTGGTGTTCATTCTGCAAAATACATAACTAAATTACTTCAACATTAACGTTGTGAGAGCTTTCTAACTATTAGTTTTTAAATTTTCCAATTTCCACTTTTAATCATCCATCTATTGTGACAAACTTTTCATAGTCTGAATTTTTCAACTTTTAGTCCTTCAACTATTGTGTCTATCACACTACTGGCCTTCTAATTATAGTGACAAAAGTAAAAAATGAGGACCCAAAGTGTTTAGTGACACAATAATTGGAGGACAAAAGTATCATTTTCACTAAAGTGACTAAAAGTGGAAAATTCATAGACGGGGTATCAAAAGTGTTTGACACAATTCAAAGACGGATACCAAAAGTGTCATTGTCACCATGGTCAGAAGACTATAAGGGGAAAAAACCATTAACATATACTCCATCCGTACCGTTGGAAGCTCGGAAGGTTCCTATGGGTAAATGGCACGATTTTTTAGACAAGTGGTTAAATAAAGTACTTTGATAAGAGAGAGGAAAGAGAAAATTTAGAAAAGGTAAACATATAAAGTGAAAGTAATTAAAGGGAGATAAGTTGGGGAAAAGGAAATTGTGAGAGTTGTCATGTAATGAGTAGGAAAGAGAAATTCGAATAAAGGAAATTGTGAGAGTTGCCAATATCACGCAAATGCTAATAAAAGAGAGTAATTTATTTCCTAAAATGGAATGGGAACCTTTAAATGGGACACCCAAATAAGGAAAGAGGGAACCTTTCAACGGGACGGAGGGAGTATTCATAACCAGTAAAACTAGGATCCTTTAGAAATCATTCCATAAGACAAGACATTAAATGGGATCGAGCACTTGCCTGCAATGACAAGCATGGTGAGTGAAAACATTCAGAGAGCTTTTCTCTGAATTATCATCACTCTCTCTCTGCCGACATATCAATATGAAATCAACCGTATCTTGATGCTCCTGAAAAAAGTGGAAGTGAAATCACAGAAGTAACAAGACATTTCAAACTATCCTCTCAAAATAAACAAGAAACAATGGCCCAAATATTACTTTCCAACTTTTATGGGACACAAATATGATAAACCAAGTCTGGACAAAAAAGTGATCGAACTTAAATCCTAAATACTAATTTCCTCTTCCGTTCTGTGCAAGGACCAAGAACATCGATCTCTTCCCTTCTTTCGTTGCTGCGCTCAAAGACCAAGGAACTCCCTGGAGCAGATCTACGCGGCAGATCGCAGAGACGGAGCAGGAGGATCAACGATTCCTCCGCAACCTTGGCCGTCGTCATTGCCGTCCTCGCACTGGTCTTCGCCGCCCTCGTCTCCGCCGTCCTCGCACTGGTCTTCTTTACTGCTCTTCTTCTCCATCGCCATCTGTTAGCTCCATTGCTCTCCTCTTCATCACCTCTGCAACTGACCGCCTCCGCTGCTGCTTCAATTCGTCGACATTTTCTTCTATTTTTTGTTGCTCACGATCATCGGAAATGCCTTGATTAGTTTTCAATAACTGAGATTGGGGATTAGGAGAAGGAGATTAGGGTTTGGTTTTTATTAATTGGGATTAGGAGGATTTTGCAATTGAAATTGTTTGCTGAAGTTTACGACTAGCTGGTTGGTTTGGAGGAGATTGTTGAAGGCGGGGCTGGAATGGAAGGGGTTGTGGCAGGGCTGGGAGGAATTAAGCCAGGGTGCGATGGGCTGGGGCAGGGAATGGGCGGCGATTGCTGGGGAGGCGGCTGGGAGACAGGAGAGGGGGGCTGGGGGACTGGAGGGGGCTGGGGAGGGGGCTGGTGGGCTGTGGAGGGGCTGCAGAGGTCACAGTTAAGGCGGCGATTGTCATCGGTGACGGTTGCTGGGTGTGCGGGGGCTGAGTGTGGGGGTCGGGGTGTCGGCTGATCGGCCGCGGTGTTGGCGGCAACAATTTCACTGAGCGGAAACGATTATAGTGAATTGTTTTCCGATGACTGAAAACCGTAAGTGACATTAAAATTTGGCAAGTGACAAATCATATTGACGCGAAAAACCGCAATGACATGAAAAATGTGACTGGCGGGGGCGCTGGTGGTGGTGTACAGTTTTGTCGGAAAAGGTTGCCGGAAAATTTTCCAGCAGTTATAGTGACATTCAAAAGTGACATAAAAATCTGATAGTGACATATAATAGTTACATAAAAATCTGACATTGACATAAAAAAAGCAGTGACATCATGTTTTTCCATATATGTGACCTTAGAAATTTGCTTTGATTAGGTACTCCTTCTGTCCCGCTAAGATAGTCTCATTTTTTTTTTTTAATTCACCAAAAAAGATAGTCTCATTTTATCTTTTCGGTTCGTCCCACTAAGATTGTCTCATACAAAATTTGGTAAAATTTGTGTGGCTCTAAATCATTCTTACTTTATCAATTCAATATCAGCCACATAAACCACTTTTTATTGATTTGTGTGTCACTCCCTCTTGTCCCATTGTTAGTGAGACGGAGGGAGTAATATTCAAGAAAAAAGCCCAATAAACAAAAGATTTATATATTTATACCTTGGTCTCATTTAGACTTGCACAAAAACGGGTTCGGGTCGGTCTTGGGTTGGGCTTTTTATAAATTTTCTGCCCATCATGTGTGGGCGGGCCCAGCCTGCAAAAACGGGCCTAACCCCATGTCCATACCCGCCCGTAAGAGCAGGCCGGGTGGTCCACCGGGCCACCCAGCCCGGAAAAACTTTAAACTTTTCAAAATTATATATATTTTTTAATACTTTAAAAATAATAGTACAACATTTAAACAATTGTTAATACGCTTATAATGTTTATAGGCCTTTCACCACATACAAAAAAGTACTCACCCAAAAATAATAATCAGAAACTATATCTAAAATTTAAAAGGCTAAAGGGTCAAATAGGTACATGAACTAACTTAAAGTGTTCAATTAACCCCTTATTTTGGAGGTTCTGTCCGTCCGTCGCCAATTGGGGCGATTCCCGATGGCATTTCTTGATGAATGTTTTTTAGCATCTTCTTCATTAAGTCTAGTTTACCCATATTAAATTTCAGCTAAAAATTAAATCGGGAAGGCAGTCAAATGATTTTCCGAAATGTACTGCGCTGTTTAACTGCGCAATTATCTTCACAAAATCATTTGACTGCCTTCCCGGTTGATTTTTTAGCTGAAATTTGATATGGGTAAACTAGACTTAATGAAGAAGATGCTCAAAAAATTTCTTCAAAAAATTCCACCGGGAACCGCCCCAATTGGCGACGGCCGAGCAGAACCTCCTATATAAGGGGCTAATTGAACACTTTAAGTTAATTCATGTACCTATTTGATCCTTTAGCCAATTTAAAATTCAAGCACAAAGTATTATCTTTAAGTACAAAAATAGATATTATATTGGTTGGGCTAGTTGTTAAGAACTATAAACTTAAATTTAACATAATAAACTATAAATATGTATAAAGATAAATTAGTAAATATAAATATACATGTGTACATGTAAATAAATAAATTAGTATATATATACATACATATATATAGGGGTGAGATCACATACAATCTAGTCCTCCCATGCTAACCTACAAACTGTCACAAACTGTGCATCTTTACATTATTTGTATTGCATATTAAAGTTCAAAGTGTTGCATATTATTTGTATTGCATATCAAAGTTCAAAGTTTTGCATATTATTTGTATTGCATATTGAAGTTCACAATGTGCATCTTTACATTATTTGTATTGCATATTAAAGTTCAAAGTGTTGCATATTATTGAGTTTTTAGGTTAGTATTTTAAGCATGATTTGTATTTGATCCCTTATCTATATACATACACACACACACACACTAGATGTAGCGGGCCGGGCTTATTGGCCCGAATGGGCCTACACCCTAATCCAAGTCCGCCCATATGTAATTGCAGGTCGGTCCAGGCTTGGCCCGGTGGGTAAATATATATTCCCAAGCCCGCCCATTTATGCGTGCGTGCGGGCTGGGCGGGCTGGTCTAGACTCTCACCCCAACTAACCTATAGCTTAATGATGATGATGAATTACCATTGACTACTTTTACAACAATGAACTACACGCTCATTAAACCAACAGTTCTTGCGTTCAAACAGAATTCTGCAAGAGCACATAGCTGAAAAGTCTACAATATGTCAAAGATTTGGTATACACCTACTCTGATCTCTTTCACATGACACTTTAGAGAGAAAAAGAAATTCCTTCTTGAGTGTTTGTCTCTTTACTCTTTTGGGAATAAGGCTTGGATGTTGTACTAATTTTCTCTTTATGATACCAGAGCCATTATCGATCATTTTCCACCATTACCCTTCTCCATCCATAGAGATGCATAGTACTTTAAAACATTCATAGGGATATTCTAGTCTAATTATAAAATATTATCAATTTTAAAAATTATTATTCTCTTAGTATATGCACAAACACCTAAGGCAACACTTAAAAATGAAAAAAAAGAGTAGGTACCTACGGAGTAATATACATGTCATTTCATTTTCATTTTCATTTACCCCGGTGCCGCAAAGGCTCCCACCTACGGTGGGGTAAGGGGGGTCGGATGTACACAGTCTTACCCCTGTACTAAAGCACAAAGAGACTGTTTCCGGATGACCCATAGTGAAAATCGCGTCCAAAATTGCATAGACTGACTGGTGCTCCATAACAAAAAAGCGCAGACAGTTTAGTGAGCCATTTTGCTTTATTCCATCATAATCTCAAGCCAAAAAATAATGAATCTTTGGCTCCATTGCAAATGATGGAAAAATGGAGTAATATACATGTTAGAGGGAAAATTTATCACATTATGATTTCTTATATAAACAAACAAAACTTACATTTTCTATTTAGCCAAAAGAAAATAACATGTTAAGAAGAGGACCTGGTCAGGTGTTCCATGATGAAACCTTTCACAATTGTGAAATTCAAATAATGGTGAACGGTGGACATCAAGAAGTAATTCATTACTGGCACGGTTAAGTTTCACATCAGCTCCTTTGGAAGGAGCCATCTCTTTTTCACCAACAGGCTTCCTGCAATTCTGAAGAAAAAAATGTAAATAAATATTGAGGAATAACATAATTAATTATGCAAACTGCAGTAGATATATGAGTTTGTTGACATCACTAAAGTAATAAACTCATTTAAGATTGAAAAGTTGACATAGAAAAAACCTAATACAGTCCATGTGAATCATATAAATGATTCAGTACCAACCTTGAGCTTTAAATAGTAAGACACGGCTTGGCCAGCAATTAGATGACCTGCGGAGACAACATTATTCATCGGTTCAACCAATGACATCTCCCACTTATTTCCGACAGATGATAGTTGATGAACCTGAAAACTCTCTCCACTAGTCTTATTGACAATGTCCATGCGCACAAGTAGTTCTTGCGTTTTGGCAGGGCGGGGATTTATGTGGAATGACATGTCTAATGAAGGAAGCACCTGTTACAGTTAATTTAATAAGAAAATGCAGAAGCAAATCATTTTCACTGTAAGAGTGAATTTCCAAAATCAACAGCTTGTAGTGACCATAAAATGTGGATTTGCAAATCATTAATGGCACTATGAAAGTAAAAATCAGAATATCAGATAGAACTGCAAGAAAGTACTTCTGTAGTCCAGTCAGGATATTCTTTAGAGAGTAAAAAAAGTGTGAAGCTTAAAATAACTTATGTGAAACAAGTACAGGGCTCAAAAAACTTTTGAAAAGTAGATGCATATAATCTCCGTTCATATTTTATTGCAACATGTCGAATTTTGACCTATTCGCATGTTCTACTTTGACAATATTTTATTTCTTAGTGTATCAGAAATTTAATATTTGAAAAATATTATGAAATGATTACATAAATATGACCAAAATAAAGATGATTTACAAAAATATGACTAATGACTAGAGTAGTAATGAAATCATAGTAATTCATGTTCAAGTTTTGAGCTTAAGTTGCCACACACCACATTGTAGTAATGAATAGTCATATTTATGTAAATATGTTTTATTTTAGTAATATTCTTGTAAAAAACCCAAATATTATTAAATTTGTCTCGTGTAAAACTTTCAAAATCTGATAATTTTAATTTTTTTACTATTTAAGAATTTAATCAAATAGGTTAATAGTCAAAGTTGTGCATTGGCAAATGTGAAAGTGGAACGTTGCAACTAAAAAAGAACGGAAGAACTATCCAGCAGGCAGCAGCATTAAAGAAAGGCAAACCTTCAGATTAAATTGAATGCGTAAGGTACGATATTTCATAACACTCGTCATATCTTCTATTTCATAGTACAATGTTATATATAATGAAATGTTTCCAGGAGCTGCAGCTCTAAGCCAGATATTCCACAAGGACGGTGATCCCTCAATAATTACCATGTCCTGGAATACAAATTTGTAAACACACAAAATTGAATGATACATTAAGACTTAAATTGCTGATCCTTAAAAGCAGTTTGAGATCAACCTCTGGAAACACAAAAACACCATCTGATGCTTTTGTGGTCTGTGATTGGATATAATTTTGAGTGGATTCTGTCTCCTTCTCTAAGCAAGCAGGAAATTCCATGCTTCTAGAATCCTTATGACCTATTTGTAGAAATCTTGGAGGACTCACCTTCATCTTTAAATTCTATCATAACATAAGCACAGTTGTCATCAGATATCAGAAACATGTAGATTATACACAATGCATAAACATAGAGATGCTTTAATGTTATATCAGAAGCTCAGCACATTGACATGACAGTATACACAAATATTATGCAAGCATGCACATCTCCGAAAGCACACCTGATCCTTGGATCCTTTTACAAGTGTTGTAATTAGTAGGTCATACCTTCACGGGAATTCCGCATGAATTTCTCAGTTCTAAAGTGATAGGTCGCAAATCTCCCACATAAAGTGCTTTAGGTAGCGGGTCAATGAAGGCTTTAAGTCTGGGTAGACTCTGCACATTGGGATACAGTTTCCAAAATGTAAATGCTTGTGATAGACATGCTTGTGATAAAATAATTGATAAAAACACATCTTCTTTGGATAAAGAAGAAAGAGGTGGAACCTTGATCACTACGAACTGCAGATTATTAGTCAAACTACGTTTGGAGTTTGTTTTAGTTTTTCTGACCCTTTTCCTGCTTAAATCAGTAGCGAATTCAAGAAAACCAGCCACATAACCAGATAACTTCCACCGCACACCCACTATTTTCAGAGTGCCTTCTGATTTTGGAGTAACATTTAGTTGTACCTGAGGATTAGACATGAAATAGTTAGTGGTGAATACTCATACGCAGTGATAGAGATATGAGTGACCAGCCTATTAAATATTTTAACAAGGTGTATCAACGGAGGAATAAAAGGGGGTAGTGAGTTAGTTAATTAGTCTGTTAACTAATTAGTAGTCTATCCCGTTGGGAATACTTGATATAAATAGAAGTGGGAGTAGCTAAATAAGGCAGGTTGTTATTCAGTTGGCTTTTGGCTTGGAGAGTGGGCTTCTCGAACAGTCCCAAGGCTTGTATACGACATGTATTCCCTTCCCATTCAATAAACATCATTGATCTTCTTAATTACAGTTTTCATTGATCTGTTAAACTTGTGCTCGTGAATTGTTACCTTCTATCATTGGTATCAGAGCACTCGATCCTGGTGATCGGAAGTGTTCGGCGACCTCAGCAATACTTGCGATCGGCGGTGGATGGTAAGGACCAGAGCAAACATAGAGCTTCGCATAGATACGGTGGAAAGGAATATGGCGGAGATGCGAGGGACTCTGTTGGAGGTACAAGAAGGATTACGCTCAGTGGTGGAGAATCAGCGTATTGCTCTTGAAAATTTGACGACGAATATGGCAGCATCGATGGCAGCCATGAATGAACAACTGTGATCAAGGGAGAGATCGCGATCACAAGGACGACCACACATACGAACATCTAATAGTCCGACGACTTCAGGAGGTAATCCAATCCACTCTTACATCCAAAATCACCGAAGGACTAAGGATAGTCATAGATTTCCAGTATATACAGGAAGGAAAATTGATTTACCTGTATTTAATGGGGAAGGTGCGTATAACTGGATTGTAAGGATGGAGAGATACTTTCGTTTGAATCAAATTAATGAAGAACAGGTGGAAGCTGCATTAGTTGCGATGGAAGGTAGGGCTGTGAATTGGTTCATTTAGTGGGAACATCAGGCGGAAAGGAAAAATTGGGAGAATCTGAAGGCTTCTGTTATAAGTAGGTTTCAGTCAGACTTGATTCACAATCCTTATGGACCCATGCTTAGCTTGAAGCAAACTGGAACTGTTCACGAGTTTAGAGATGAGTTTGAAATGGTGATAGCTCCTCAAATCAATGTGGATATGGAGATCCTTAAGGGAATTTTCCTTAATGGTTTGAAGGAGGAGATAAAAGCTGAACTTAAACTACATAATTCAACATCCTGAGTGAAATCATGGACAGAGCCTTATTAATTGAGAGTAGGAATGAAGCTATATATCTGAAGAGAAAGGAGGAAGACCGGTCACCTTGGAAAGAGAAGGGAACTACAACAGTAAAATCACAAGTCTGGACTGAGGGGTACAAGTCTAAATTTGGCAATACTGGAACTCATAATAGTGAGAAGAATGGGGCAGATAGTAAGAATAACCAGCCTTGGTACAATCATAAGGGGGTCAGAGTTACAGAGATTCAACCCTCAGGAATCAAAAGGGTGGATCCTCAGCTGTCTCAGGAGGAATATCAGGAAAGGAGCAGAAAAGGCCTATGTTTCAAGTGTGGTGAAAAATGGAGTAAGGAGCATACATGCAAATTGAGGAATTACAAACTGATCTTGGTGGAGGATTCTGAAGAAGAAGCAGAATGTGAGGAAGGAAATGGAGGAAGTTCAGAAGAAGAGGAAGTTGTCATGGAATCCAAGTCCATGCAACTGTCGCTCATGAGTAAGGAAGGCATTCCTTCCATGAGAGCTTTTAAAGTAAAAGATTATCTGGATTGGGGTCAAAAGAAAGAATCAGTGGAAGTACTCATTGACAGTGGTGCAACACATAATTTCATTTCATAAAGGCTGGTAGATCAACTGACAATACCTTACAAGACTATTTCTCGATACAAAGTTCAAATTGGCAATGGTGAGCTTATATCCAACAATGGGGGGTGTGAGAAACTGAATCTGCAGTTACAAGATACAGAAATTCAGCAAGAATTCTACATATTGAACCTGGGAGGTACTGATTTAGTCTTGGGCATGGAGTGGCTGACCAGTTTGGGAGGTGTGAAAGTCAACTTCCAAAAGCAGAGTATCAATTGGGAAAGGAATGGGAAGAATCAAATAATTCAAGGGGATCATCATTTAAATTCCCTTGAGGTTTCCCTGAAAACCCTCACACAAATCTTACAAGATGCAGGGGATGGTTATTTGGTGTACTGTGAAGGGCAGGCAGAGAAATTGAAAGGGGATCAGAAAAGAGAAGAAATCTGGGATGACATTTTGGCTGAATTTCCTGAAGTTTGCAAACCTCTGAAAAATTTACCTCCGAGTAGAAGTTGTGACCATGCTATTAACATACAAGAAGGAGCTTGCATTCCAAATATCAGACCATACAGGTACCCTCAATACCAAAAGAATGAGAGAGAAAGGATTATCAAGGATATACTGGCAGAAGGGATAATTCAGAACAGCAATAGTCCTTACAGCAGCCCCATATTGCTAGCCAAGAAGAAAGATGGGGGGTGGCGCTTTTGTGGAGACTATAGAGCCTTAAATAAAATCATTGTCCCAGATAAATTTCCTATTCCAATAATAGAAGAGTTGTTGGATGAGTTAGGTGAAGCTAAAATTTTCTCTAAACTGGATTTGAAGTCTGGGTACCATCAGATCAGGATGAAGGAATGTGATAGGCATAAAACAGCTTTCAGAACTCATGAGGGACACTATGAGTATCTGGTTATGCCTTTTGGGCTGACAAATGCTCCTTCAACCTTCTAGGCCTTGATGAATCAGGTACTAAGGCCTTTCCTAAGGAGGTTTGCACTGGAATTTTTTGATGACATTCTGATTTATAGCAATTCTATTGAAGAACATCAAGGACATCTGAAGAGTGTACTAACAGCATTGAAGGAAAATCAGCTGGTGATAAATTTGAAGAAATGTTCATTTGGGCAGACAGAGTTGGCTTATTTGGGTCATATAATTTCAAGGCAAGGAGTATCAGCTGACCATACAAAAATTGAAGCTATGCTTGAATGGCCAGAACCTAAGGATTTGAAAGGGGTGAGAGAGTTCCTGGGATTGACGGGGTATTACAGGAAGTTTGTAAGAGGTTACAGCAAGATTGCTTTTCCTCTTACACAACTTCTAAAAAAAGATAGTTTCTCTTGGAATCTGGAAGCATGTCAAGCTTTTAAGGAATTGAAGAAGATCATGACTACACTGCCAGTTTTAGCTATACCAGATTTCAACAAACTGATTGAGGTAGAAACAGATGCATCAGGAACAGGCCTGGGGGCAGTTTTGATGCAAGAAGGGAGGCCAGTAGCGTATATGAGCAAGAAATTATCACCAAGGAATCAGAAGAGGTCAGTTTATGAAAGGGAGCTCATGGCAATTGTTTTAGCAGTACAGAAATGGAGGCCTTATCTACTTGGCAGGCATTTTGAAGTCCATACTGATCAGAAGAGCCTTAAGTTTCTTACTGAACAAAGGCTCGTGGGAGAGGAGCAGCAGAAGTGAACCTTCAAGTTATTAGGCTTTAATTTTTCTATCAAATATAAGCCGGGTGTAGAAAACAAGGCTGCAGATGCTTTATCCAGAAGACCTGCATTGCAGTCATTGTCCATTGTTAATTGCCAGGAATGGGATGGGCTAGAAGAAGAATTAAGCAAAGACCCCAAAAGCAAGGAGCTAATTCAGAAGGTAATCTCTTATCCTGACAGAAATAAAGACTTTCAGATCATTAAAGGCTTATTATACTACAAAAAAAGGTTGGTGTTACCAAAAGGGTCAGCCAGGGTTTTGAAAATTTTGAAAGAATATCATGATTCAGCTTTGGGAGGACATTCTGGGTATTTCAGAACAATGAAGAGGGTGGAGAGCTTGTTCTGTTGGCCTGGGATGAGGAATGATATAAAAAAACATGTGAAAGAGTGTGCTATCTGCCAAACCAATAAGTATCAAGCCCTTAAGCCGAGTGGTTTCTTACAACCACTACCTATTCCAAACAATATCTGGACAGATATTAGTATGGATTTTATTGGTGGGTTGCCAAAATCTCAAGGGAAAGACACTATACTAGTAGTGGTTGACAGGTTTACAAAATTTGCTCATTTTATGGCCTTATCTCATCCCTTTAATGCAAAGGAGGTGGAAGAAATATTCACCAAAGAAGTAGTCAAACTGCATGGCTTTCCTAAAACAATTGTCAGTGACAGGGACAGTCTTTTCTTGAGCTCTTTTTGGTCAGAACTCTTTAAGCTGGCAGGAACTCAGCTGAAATATAGCACAGCCTACCATCCTCAGACTGATGGGCAGACTGAGGTAGTTAACAGGTGCTTATAGACTTATTTGAGATGCTTCACAGGAAGGAGACCTAAACAGTGGAGTCAGTGGCTGCATTGGGCTGAATTCTGGTATAATACTAATTATCACATTTCATTAAAACAGACCCCTTACAGAGTTTTGTTTGGACTGGACCCACCTGCTGTGATTAGAGGAGATGTAACACTCACTGCAGTGGAAGAAGTCTCTAGATTAACTGCTCACAGAAATGCTATGTTAGAAGAGTTGAAAGAGAACCTAGCTAAGGCTCAAAACCTTATGAAACAGCAGGCTGATAAACATAGAAGAAGTATTCACCTGGAGGTGGGGGATCAAGTGTATCTGAAAATTCAACCTTACAAACTCAAGAGTCTGGCTAAAAGAATAAACCAGAAATTGAGTCCAGGATATTATGGGCCATTTGAAATCCGGGAAAAGATTGGTTCCATAGCTTTCAGACTTAAGCTACCAGAAGGCAGTAAGATACACCCTGTATTTCATGCATCCCTACTGAAGAAAGTGATTGCTCCTACTACACTATTTCAGCCTCTCCCGAAGTGCCTAAGTGAAGAAATGGAGTTGCAAGTGATGCCAGAAGAAGTGCTGAACACCAGGGTGAATCCAGAAGGCAGAGTTGAAGTTTTGATAAGATGGAAGAACCTCCCAAGTTTTGAAGATTCATGGGAACTCCTGCAAATGATAAAGGAAAACTTCCCAGATTTACACCTTGAGGACAAGGTGAATCTTCAGGGGGGGGGGGGGGGTATTGATAGAGATATGAGTGACCAGCCTATTAAATATTTTAATAAGGTGTATCAACGGAGGAATAAAAGGGGGTAGTGAGTTAGTTAATTAGTCTGTTAACTAATTAGTAGTCTATCCCGTTGGGAATACTTGATATAAATAGAAGTGGGAGTAGCTAAATAAGGCAGGTTGTTATTCAGTTGGCTTTTGGCTGGGAGAGTGGGCTTCTCGAACAGTCACAAGGCTTGTATACGACCTGTATTCCCTTCCCATTCAATAAACATCATTGATTTTCTTCATTACAGTTTTCATTGATCTGTTAAACTTGTGCTCGTGAATTGTTACCTTCTATCACGCAGGTAAGGGAAACGGGAAGAATTGGCCATTTAGAGTATGCTTTTGTCCAGCACACTGCATTAACATGATACTATAACTGTACACCATACCCTTCATGGGAATGGTCAGTGATAAGAGACAACATCACTACGCAATGTGTAACATCTTAAAACATATGACACTGTGGACATCACTCTCTGCTGTGTACTGCAAGTGATTATAGAATAAAGACAAGATCCTCTAAGGTCTGTATATAATAACTAAACTAGATGACACTATTAAAGATGCCAAATATACACATAGGGGTGGAGTCAGTTGTGATCAGACCGTTTTTGTGTGTTACAAACCGGAACAAGTCCAAACCCAGTCCAGTCCTCCTAAATGGTGTACCAGACCCATCGGTTCTGCCCCAGTTTCGGTTTCTTCAGTTTTCTGTTCCTAATATTACAGTTCTGACCCGCCTAGAACCCAACAAAGAACCGGAACAAAACTGATTGGGTAAACAGGACCTGGATCGGGCATACCCAATTGCAGTAACAGCTAGTCTTGTGAAGTTATGAGTAGCCAAACTCGTTATTATAAAATAACCACTATTGTAAAATACCCCATCCAATATTTATAGACTATCTGCATTCATCATATCTGCATGGCTATTGTGGATTTATGGTCCGGTCCAAAAGATTGCTTTTCACGATATTTGAACATTTTGATCAACAAAGAACATAAGTACTTTACACGATATTAGGAATTTAGGATAGTCAACTTGCATTGCTTTTGAGTAAGGTAGCAAATGCACCATCACTAAGATACTTGATTTTCGAGCACTAGCTGAGAAGCTACAGAAAGCAGAAAACCAAAGAGAAATCCATGCAATGTTCAAGAAAGAGAGCTGATTGAAAGATGCTCACTATACCACTATTGTTTACTATTGAAAAGAAACCATCAGCGTGTGGGGGCTTAGTGAACACATGGTGGATCCGTGAATGACAGAACCACAAAATTACAAGTATCGGTGGATGGTCCTGACAGATTTGAGTTTAATGATTGGTTGTTATAGTTTTGTATTGGCATATAAGCATTATTGTTATTATTTGGGGGGGTCATAGTCAGTGAAATTCCACTCTTATAAATTATTGGGAGGTTCACTAAATATTACTTCCTCCGTCCCGTTAAGATTGTCTCATCCTTCGTTCTAAATCATTTTTGCTTTATTCTTACTTTATCAACTCAATATGAACCACATAAACTCACTTTTCTTAATAACTATGTCACCTCCTCATGCCCGGTCCCAATGTTAGTGGGACGGAGGTAGTACTAAATTGAAGCCAATTTCCAAAAATGTGACTACTTTTATATTTTGACAAAATGTGATTAGCAGGGTCATATATTTGTAAAAAACAAAAAATATGAATGTCTTTATGAGTTGTCACTACTAGATTTTCATGTCACTTACGAATACCACTATAATTAGCTCACTTTTTGTCAATTTTAAAATGGTCATATTGTTGTCCATTCAAACCTTATAGGTAATATTTTTGCCATTCTTTCTAAAGTATTATACCAAAGCACACATTAAAAACTTATGATCCAGACTGGAGAACACTATACAATATATACATGAATACTCCCTATGTCCCATAAAATAGTTCCCGGATTGACTTGGATCGAAGTTTAAGAAAGTGGGAATAAAGTGGAAATGTATGGTTGTGGTTGTGTAAGAAAAGGTAAATGAATGTGAGCCACACAAAACATTCCAAAAGGGGAAATGGGAACTATTTTTTGGGACGGCCCAAAAAGGAAACCGGGAACTATTTTATGGGACGGAGGGAGTACATATCAGGAAATAGTTCAGTTATTTCTAAATAACTAACCACTGTAGTTTCACCTCCTCCCAGAACAGTATCGACCTCAGACAATGTATATGAAGATGCAACAGAGTTGAAGTCCCTGAGTCATCAGTCAACATTCCAAGAAACATAAGCATAATAAGAACAAACCTAGACTCAGTTTGAATGAGCAGAAAAGATACAAGAGTAGTTTGCATGTACAAACATGCACTAAGGTTATATTTACATACCCACTAACCGTCGGGATGGTTGAATCCTTGTCATACTGAACACTATTTGAATTTGTTACATCTGCACTATGCAATGATGTATTAATGATAAATGGGGTGATGTATGTCATGAAGGGAGAAATAAAGGCAAATTATGTGTTTTTTTGTATTGTCATATTCCGTTTTGGAAAAGGATGACTTAAAATAAAAAGAAATATGAAAAAATAAAACCGTGCCTAATACTTGATTAAATTTAAAAGTTAATGATGTGCCCAATTCCTTTCCAAAATTTGTGCCCTCCATGTTGGCATATTACCAGATTAGCAGTGCTGTCTTTCAAATACATGCATACAAACATAGTTACTGTAGAAACCCTAGTTGTATTGGGCTTAGCCCGTCTTGTATAGTAACCCTAGTGCTCTAGTTTTAGCTATAAATATAGCTACTTGTATAGTTCTTTACATCAAGATTCATTACAATGAAATACAGTTTATATAGTTTACATGGTATCAGAGCCTATATGGCAAACAGTAGTTAGGGGCTGGTTTCCGGCAAGCATTTCCGGCATAATTTCCGGTGTGAACAGTAGCTGCGATTGGTGTTGGAGCACACTTCCGGTGGTGAATATCCGATCTACACCTACCACCTTGCTCAGCATACCATCGCGACCAACCAACCGGAACAGTACCGGCATGGAGGCTACCACGCGCCCTCACGCGCCACCGCCCCTTCCTACAGCTCACTTTCATATTTGCATATCTACTCCGTCCTAGTTTTCCGGAGATCTCACAGCCGATACCCTGACAATCTGGAGGTCCTGGCGACTAGAACAGCGTAAAGCAGGCACTCATCGGACAACCTACGCGCCGCCGCCAAACTCACGCGCCGCCCAGACGGTCGTACCGTCGCCGCCGCTCGGTCCGCCTGCCACTGCCACTGTTTTGCTACGCCCAAGGTCAGTTTTTTCTTAACCTCTGCGCCTCAAGGTCGTATCTTCCCAGGCTGCTGTTCCGTATTTCCGCTGCTGTGTTGCTGCCTTGGGAAGTTGCTACTGCTATTTCCGTATGTTGCCTGGGGAAGTATTTCCGTATGACTGCATATGTCTGCACTGCTCTATTAATTAATTACTGGTGCACTATTTGATGTTTAATTACTGTTGTATTAGTTCAGATAGAAACTGTTTCTGTTATCCTTAAAAAAAGTCAAAAAAAGAAAAAAAGAAAAAAAAATGTCAAGTTTCTCTTCGTTTGCTTCAGTTCCAATCATCACCGCCGATTGACTAGCTGGAAGTATTAATTATCAATCATGGGCTATTTCTGTGGAGATGTGGTTCAAAGGTCAAGGTCAAATTGATCACTTGAATGTCGATGCAAATACGATAGAAGACAAGCGGAATGAATGGGAGAATATGGATGCCTTATTGTGTAACGTGTTATGGCAATCTATGGATCCAAAACTTCATCCTACCTATCAATCATACCGCACTTGCAAACAGATTTGGGAAAAAGCTAAAGCCAACTACACAAATGACATCCAAAATCTGTTTACCTTTGGTTCCAAAATTGCTACGCTCAAACAGCAGGATTTGGACGTTCAAGAATTCCTAGGACGGGTTGAGGCATTACTGTTTGAATATAATAATATTCAACCTATCTGTTAGGTATCTAACTAATTTCACTAGAGATTTCAAGAATCAAAGATGAAGAAAAGAGATGTCGTATAACTGAAAGTATAGAAAGAGAAATACAAAGGCAAATTCGAGAGTGCCTATCTCTCCCAGGAGTCACGGTTCCTCTTCCAAATTCTGCCTGCCTATTCCTCCCCTTTTCCCACCTTTTATACACTTTCTATTCTTAAGGGCCGGCCCATACTTACATGGCCCAGAACATTTATTTATACAATAACACTATTTAATAATACTCTATTATTCTTATTATTATTGGCTGTCCAAGTCCCTATCATATCTCCCCCCTTGAACAACCACCTTGTCCTCAAGGTGGGTGATAGGAAACAGCCTTGATCTGCAACTTCATCTTCTTTCTGGCACCTCTTCCTTCCCAATACATCCCGAGTTTGTGAATCTTTAACTTCAGTACTTGAAGCTGCATCTTATTTTTCTTTACTTCAAATTCGAGTAGAAACAAAGTCATGGTGGCAGAGGGCTCCCTTAGGTTGCAAAAGTCCGAATCTCCCACCAACTGTGTCTCTTCCCTATAGATTTCCCCATCCAACATGGTACTCCCATGTTGTGCTTGTATTTGAGTTATCTCGGGTATTTCTAGTTGGAATATTTTGAGCATTGGAAAACTCATTGGAGTTGGTTGCTCGCGCCGTTGCATGCTGAAACTTTTATCAGGCAAGGCTAAAACGGAGCATATGGAAGGTGAAAGCAACGAATCAAATATGTCAACAATCATATGCATCTGATGGTCAAGCACAAACACATGTTTTCCTATCCCCTGTGTCAATATTAGCAGTATTTCTGGAGTAAAGTTCATTACAGGGAACTGTTTAGAACAATCAAGGTGAGACTCCAAGGGGCTGTCAAACGTGCTAGTGAAGTACCTAACCCCAGCAGCTTCCTTTATTCCTACCCTTTGCTCGATCACCCCCTGACCATGAGTTGAAGCATCCAGGCAGTTTCCATTAGAACCCTGCTGATACAAATGTACAACCTGTCTTTTTCTGGCATCATATTTCAACATAGACACATAATCATATTTCTTCCCCAAAAGCATGTAATGAGTGCCACAGATAGCATAGAATGTGGATAGGTTTGACTTCCTTTTTAATATAGAAGATAAGTGTTTGTTTTCCAGCTCCCATACCATAGGGCCTTCCATGTTGTTCCCTCCAACTGCTTTCAGCATACCATCTGTGGTTCCCATAGTTAAGAACTGTTGAATAGGGTCAGAAGGATTCCAGTACATCATATCACCACCAAAGTACTGGTTATAATCCATACCAAGACAACCACGGACCTCTAATTTGTCTTCTGTGACCTGATAGTGGTGCAGTACCTTTTCAGCATCCCTGTTGTTAGCTACTTTCATGAGATCAGAATTATAACCGTGAACATAGCTCAAACTATCAAACCCCGCAGAGGAATTATTTTGGTTTTGCATTTCAATTTTGTCCTCCTTTTTCTCAGACTTTGATTCATCCTCTTCTATTTCCCCAGTTTCCTCTCTCTATACTGACAGTTTCTGTAGAGCTTTCCCAAGTATTTGAACCAACAATTTTATCGACGCCAAATTTATATTCCATGCCAATGGATTGAATCACCACAGAAGTTTTCTCCTCTGGTTCCTCATCACCATTGATGAATGTATCTTCAGAGTTAGGTTGTCACTGACTCACAGACTGCTGCGGGAATGAAACTGACTCAACTTGAAGACTGTGAGAAACGGAAGTATTGGATGAAACCTGCAGTGAGACCTGCGAACTGAGATAAGTCGCTCTTTGAGCCCTGCGAACTGAGACCTGCGAACTGAGACCTGCGAATTGAGACCTGCGAACTGGTAGACACTGTGTGCGACTTCGAGTGCGATGATTTCCGGTTTTCTGTCTTCCGCCTGCGTGTAGGTTGGAATCTCCGAATTGTAGCTTCCTTCAGAACTTCCCAATTCTTTTCTCTAGTTTCAATTTCCCACCATTGGAACCAGTCTAACGCCCTTTCCTCCATTGTTTCTTCTGCTACTCTAACCTTATGTTTTTCCGCAATAGCGTTGAGTTGGAAGTATAGTTCCATCTTAATTATCCATCCGTACACCTCATCCCCATTGAATACTGGTAAATCTACTTTCCTTCCAGATTTCTCCATCCACTTGCTATAATCATTGTTTCGTGAAGAATAATGATTACCTGAAGAAGACGAAGAAGATTCGCTACTGTCATGTTTCTTGTTTCGCTTTGTTGTTTTAAATTTTCCGCTTGAGTGGCGATCATTCCTCTGTAGAATTAATTCGTGTAACTCTTCGTTAGTGCATCTGGCCCCTTTGCAATTCTTCTCCCGCTCCATGTTCTCTCTGGAGTATGATTGCGTTGGACTGTCATGTCGTTTGTCGCGAGTTGAGGTTCTTGACTTTCCTCGCTCATGTCCGTCGTTCTGCTTTATCAACAGTGCGTGCAACTCAGCCATCTCATGCCGCAACTCTTCGCGATGATGTTCCAGCACGCGTTCGAAACTGTCCAATTTTCCTTCCATCATTCCACGCATCGCAACCATGGACATGTGTCAGAAACGGTGCTCTGATACCAATGTTAGGTATCTAACTAATTTCACTAGAGATTTCAAGAATCAAAGATGAAGAAAAGAGATGTCGTATAACAGAAAGTATAGAAAGAGAAATACAAAGGCAAATTCAAGAGTGCCTATCTCTCCCAGGAGTCCCAGTTCCTCTTCCAAATTCTGCCTGCCTATTCCTCCCCTTTTCCCACCTTTTATACACTTTCTATTCTTAAGGGCCGGCCCATACTTACATGGCCCAGAACATTTATTTATACAATAACACTATTTAATAATACTCTATTATTCTTATTATTATTGGCTGTCCAAGTCCCTATCACTATCACTGAAGATAAGGAGAAACAACTCGAGCAAAGACAACAACTTGTTATGGTTTTAACCTTAGCAGGTCTTCGCCCAGAGTTGTTATCAATATGTGAGCAAATTCTCTCCAGTTCTTCTGTTCCTACAATGTCTGAAGCCTTTGCCAGAATTCTTCGAGCCGCCCCAATATCTGCTGACGCATCCTCAAGTGATTCTATCATTCTTGCATCTCAAGGTTCAGGGCATGATGGGGGAAATCAAAAAGGATATCCACGACGTAATCGCCCCAAGTGTGATTTTTGTCATAGGATGGGTCATACTAAAGATATGTGTTGGAAGTTACATGGTAAACCTTCCAGCTCTGCCAATGTTGCACAAATCCCGCAAGTTCCAGTTGTGCTGCCTCCAGAAGAATATGAGGCTTATCAGAAATTTAAGAAATCCACTCTGACTTCATCAACATCAGGTAATTCTATAGCATGTGTGTCAAACACAACTGGCTCGTGGATCATTGACTCAGGTGCTTCCGA